CACTTTCCTTTCAGACTTTACTCCTGAAGTTATTTTTTAGGGGTTTTCTGGCTGCACACAGACCTATAGAAAAATTCCAGCAGCCAAAGAAAATTTAGGATTAATTCCTTTTGTTAGTTCCAGGGCTAAAATTCTATGTTTTTAGTCCAGAAGTTTTAGCAGAGGGACAAAAATCTTGATGTCAAAGACTATTTTAAATCATTTTTCCTTTCAGACTTTACTCCTGAAGTTATTTTTTAGGGGTTTTCTGGCTGCACACAGACCTATAGAAAAATTCCAGCAGCCAAAGAAAATTTAGGATTAATTCCTTTTGTTAGTTCCAGGGCTAAAATTCTATGTTTTTAGTCCAGAAGTTTTAGCAGAGGGACAAAAATCTTGATGTCAAAGACTATTTTAAATCATTTGAAAGATTTGAGTCTTTTCAGTTCTGGACTGTCTCAGAGGTCTACAAAGCCTTCAGAATGAAATATGACATCCAAAATGACTTGTTATCAGAAAAATCTGATTTAGCAAACTCCACTTTCACTATGGTGTAAATTACAGTTCCATGGTTTTGAGAGCTAGCAAGCAATGCTAGAGCAATACACACAGCACACTTTCAATTCACCACCTTGTAGGAATTATGCTAAACTATTGCCTAAAAACATAAAAGTAGATAAGGTTTTTTAGGAGTAGGTCAGAACCAAAGCCTTGGAAACCTAAGCACCCAACTCCAGTCTCACTATGTCTGATGCAAAGGAAGAACAACCCCTTCCAGTATGCAAAAGTGAATTCACCACCTAGGCCTTCTTTGGAGCCTCTTGAAACGACCTTTTTTAATTTCATAACATAGTGAAATTAAAATTTTAGGGGCAGAACCAACTCTGTGCTCTTCACTGTTCATTTTTGTCCAGTGCCCATTTGGGGAAACTCTCCTCACTCATGTAAGGCTGCTGTGAAGTACTGCCTTTGCAATTCTTAGCAGCTAAGGAAGATAAGGTGAAACAGAGATACAAGGCCAACTGGAAGCAATAACTCTAGTGAAGACTTTCTCATTTCCTATTTGTGATCTCTCTCTCTCATCTCCTATTTAATTGTTATGCAAATGTCAGTTGACTCTGAGGGGAAACAACCTTAAACTTCTCTAAGGTTTGACTAGTTCCTTCAGGATTAACATAGTCCTTCAAATATGATGGCTACAGAACATAAGGCAGCATCAGGCAAGCAAAGGAAAAGGTTTCCCAGCTCTCTGGAGCTACATTAGCACAGCAAAGCCACAGACCTGTAACGATGTTCCTGATGGGTTTCACAAGGGCATTGAAGGCAGAAACCTCAGGCTGCCTGTGTTCCCACATTGGCTGCCAAATAACAAGGCCACTAGCCAACCGGAATGTCAGGTCAGACTCCTAGAAATAGAAACAGAGGTTGTATCTCACCAGCTCACACAAAAGAATGTTGTTTCCAGTCTATGATGAGTGTTATTTCTCCAATGCACAGATCTTACAAGAAATGAGTGATACCATGTGCAATTCAGTGGCCAGTATGTGCTAACTCAAAGGGCCACTGACAATGCCCAGCAGACATTGCATGTCAAGTATGGCTAATAAAAATCTCAATACAAAGATATGCAGGAGGCTTTTTCCAAATGAGATTTCTATACTAGTTAATGAGCCGTGTTTTTTCCAGTACATTAAGCTGTAAAACAATAGGCCACTCCTGTCAGAAAGCATCCCTTCTGAACACATATAACCACTTTGTGTTTAGTACTCAATCTCAACCCTAGGATTTACACTCCAAAACTTGAACTTGTTCCCCAAAAGAATAAGAATATTAAATATTAAAACATTACTTAGAAACTGAGGAGGCATGTAACCAAGCACTATGAAGTAGGAGCAAAAAATTGTGTTGCTACCTTTAGCACTGTTGCTACCTGAGCTACTGTGCTGGTTTGAGCTGAAGTAGAGTTAACTTTCTTCACAGTGGCTAGTATGGGGCTATGTTTGGGTTTTGTGCAGAACACAGAGTTGATAATGCAGAGATGTTTTTGTTATTGCTGAGCAGAGCTTACACAGAGTCAAGGCCCTTGCTGCTTTCCGTACTGCCACACTGGCAAGGAAGTTGGGGGTGCATGGGAGATTGGGAGGAGACACAGCTGGGACAGGTGACCCAACCTGACCAAAGGGATATTCCATACCATAGGACATCATGCTCAGTATATAAGGTGGGAGGAAGAAGGAGGAAGGGGGGACATCTGGAGTGATGGTGTTTGTCTTCCCAAGGAATCGTTACGCGTGATGGGCCCTGCTCTCCTAGAGATGGCTAAACACCTCCTGTCTTCGGGAAGCAGTGAATTAATTCCTTGTTTTGCTTTGCTTGTGTGTGCAGCTTTTGCTTTCTCTATTAAACTGTCTTTATCTCAACCCATGAGTTTTTGTAGCTTTTACCCTTCTAATTTGCTCCCCCATCCCGTTGGTGGGGGAGTGAGTGAGAGGCTGCGTGGTTCTTGGCTGCTGCCTGGGGTTAAACCACGACAGCTACAGAGACACTGGTACTACTTACACTTGTTCCATCACTATTTTACATATGCAAGTAGCTAAAATCGTGTACACAAGGAAACCTTAGCAGGATCAAGATGGATGTATGTACTTACTTGAGCTAAGGTGAGATCTACATTAGGAGGCACAGGTGTTGGTATAGCCCCAGCTATCCCCAGAAGGCAAGCAAACATGGTAGTAGCAGATTTGGCAGCATAATTATAGCTGCACCACTGTCTGCCATTGACATAGCTCCTCATGCCTCAGCAGTTGGACTTGATGATGCAGACAGAGCTAAAGGAATGGCAGGAGCTGACTGCTTGAAGCTCTCCAGCCTTTCCATTCCCTACCCTCCGTTATTGCCATGTCATCTAATGAGCTCACAAGCCTTGTTTAAACTAAGTTTGTTTTTAATGACAATTTTCACTAAGGAATGCCTTGCAAGACTTTTGGGAGTAGTGGCAGGAATGTGCTGCATTTTCACTTTGCACTGCTAGCTTTTGGAGACATGCCAACATTCTACCTACAGTTGTGAAGTTACAAAATTACACGCATCCCCAAAGCCTCAATTAAAAGGCTAAAGACACAAATTCTCCCAGATGTTAGGCATTCAATAGTTTAGGTCTGTGCAAACATGTCTCATCTTCCTTGGGTACATGCATTACATTGGCTATCTGATCAGACAGTATCCTTCCCCTGAGACCTCTACCTGTGTGAAACACAGAGGGGACAAAGCTCGCAGAGCGAGCCAGTTACATGCCTCATTTACCTCCTTTTCTGCACTTTGCTTTGGTGACAGAAACATGAATATTTTAATGGGCTTTGCAACATTCATCATACAGTATTTCAGAGATCTCAGAGATTTTCAAGGTAAACTTGGGATAAGTGTTATTAACCCCATCTTGTAAATGGGAAACTAAATCTCAGAAAGATTAATATCAAAAAATCAGAAACTTGCTCTCTAACAGTCAGGGACTACCTCCAGCTTCATTTAATGTATTCAAAGTGCAGCCCACATTTGTGTGTGCAGCACTGGGGAGAATTCAGCATTTCTTCCTGTCCTGTCCCATGACTGACAGAGAAAATGTAGAACTAGTAAACAAGGTTGGGCTAAATAAATTGAGCAATACTGTACAGGAACTCATTAGCAGAAGCAGGAAAAGAATCTAGCTCTTCAGCCTTGCTTTCACCTGCCTTAATCAAAAATATTAGGCTTTATCTCCTGTTCTTTCTTTTCTTCTTCAACTATTGCATCATAGAAGGCAGGATTAGAACAGATAACAGCCCCATCACTTCAGGACTTTATAAGCCTCTCCCAAGCACCTACTGTCTTCGGAGGCCTAGCTGGAAAAATGCAGGCTAAACAGCAGCCCCTCAGAGAGGCTAAAGACAAGAGACAGGAGTCAGAGCATGCAGAAAACATCTCCTGGTCACACCACTCTGCAAAGCTGATACACTCAGCATAAAGTCAACAGATGGACCCCAGCACACAGGAAGCCTGCAGCCTGCTTCCAACTTCAGAACAAAGGGATGCTCCATTGCCTTTGCCACTGCCGTGCTTATAACACCATCATGCATTCCTGGTAATTAGCATCAAGATGATTAGTAATGACAACAATAAATCCCCGTGGCAGCCCCACGGTGGAATCCCTGAAAAGCTTGCAAAGACCTTCTGAGCAATGGTTGAGAATCACTGGAGCAAGATAAAGCTCAAAATCCTTTCTGCAGGTTCCAGGATCCCAGAGACTTCACAGGGGCCATAGATCTTTGACATCCCCAAAGGCTAAAAACTGGGCCACTTCAGATTTATTTGCCTTTGGGCCTGCCTGATGCTGTGATGATTGTTCATGTCACTGGAAGGATTTCTTCCTGATGGCAGCAGTATTCTGCCAGCTTGTTAAAATATTTCCAGTGGTCCCCCAGTGTGCACTGTAGGCTGAATTAAATAACAATCACAAAGGCAGAATCATTCGTTTCCTGCTCAGAGCTGTCTCCACACAAGCACCCCATTAGTCTTCCACTTACTTTAATCCTGTGGACAAGGGGAGCAAAGAGGAACACAAATAGCTCCACTGTGGCCATGGAGTTCTGGAAGAACTTCCTCCTGTTATTCTCCTCCTCGTCGGTCGTGGCGCTGGGCCGAGGATGTCCTGGTGATCCTTGGTTTTCAGCCTGGTGGATAAAGGCGCTACTGCTCCCTCCCCAGCTAGAGCCTCTGTCTCCTCCAAAACGGTCATTGCTGCAGTCCTGAGGAGCCTCCAGCAGCATCCAGTGAAGAGTGTGAAGAAGCTTTGTTTCAGCTACTCCAAGCTTATCCTGATGCCCTGCGTAGAAAAATGCATCACAGCATGTCACAGAGTTTCCATTAATGGTACTGTTGAGATTTTCAGAGCTGCACAGGAAACTGACATCAAACTTCCTGATAAACATTTGAAAATTAAAATTAAAACCACCAGCATCCAGTCTTACTATATCTGAAACCTCCTAAATCACAAGTCTCCATTTACTTCACAGCACTGGCAGTTCAGTCCCTGCAATGTCAGCTGCAGGACAGCTGAATGCATGGACATAGAGCAGTCCCAAAAGAACCCAACTTGACAGTCGTGTCTGTTTGATTCTGTTGAATAAAACAAAATGCAAGTGAGCACTGCAAGGTGCTCAAGCTTTGTCCTGTTAATATTCCCTACTGGCACGTCTCAGGAAGCAAATTCCCACTGAAATCACTGCTGAAATCACTAAAAGGCCATTAAAGTTGGATTTGGACCTGGCTCTGTCCTTAACGTCTGATTGACTTATCTGCTGAGAATCACATGCACTGGAAGAACAAGAAGAAGAAAATAAATTTTTTTAAAAAAGAGCTGAAGATATTAAAAGTACTTGCTGCAATTGACTGTTGCAGCATGTCTTGAAAGAAATATGCATTCCTTCAAGGAACACATGTCTGTTGGGTGGTTTTGCTAAAATAAGCTCTATTACCTTTGGAAAATAACTAGCAAAATGTTCATTTGAACTACTCTGACTCTTCAGCTCACCAGACCACTAACTTCACTGGGGAAGCTCTCACAGGTTACCCTGCTATAAATAAGAACAGATCAAGACAATCCACAAAATGAACTAGATATAATTCTAGGATTTAGAGTATGTTGGCACCCTGAGCATGAGTCTGTCATATTTTGGCAGATAACTTCAACAAGGGAAAACAACCTCACACGAGCACTAACCTAGCTTGTTCCTGTTGGAGAGCAATGTTGCAGTGCAGTGCAGCACATGTGGGAGAGCAGCTTGGACAAGTTCCCAGCGAGAAATGCTCTGGATGGCTTCAGAGAGAGCTGGAGAAAGGCCATGCAGCTTGTTTTCTACTAAAACTCTTTCAAAAGACTGTAAGTAAGAACAAAGAAAAAAAGACACTGTATCTATTTCTGGATATTCCTTCCAGTACATAGAACATTCTCTTTTAAAAACCTGTAATCTTTAACATATAACTAAAGCACATCTTATTACAGTTTTCCTGAAAAACAGACTGTAACTAAAGCTCACCAGACACAGACATACTTGACTAAGAAATAAATGGGCCACACAATATATTTTCTATAATATAAAAGAATTAAAGCAAGTATCATCTGTATCTTAGTCAGTGCTGACATCAAGCCAGATTTACAGTTGTGCTGGGTACTAATCTGGCATGCCAGTAATCCTGTTGGAACTCACAGGAGCTAAGGAAGCCTGTATTTGTGGAGCTGAGTGCTGGATATTCTTCTCAAACACACATGCTCCTTCAGTGCAGTGCAACATAAAGGGCAACCCATTAAAGGTACATGGGCCTTAGGAAATGTTTTCACACCCTGTCACAAAAAATAATCAGCGTACAAAATTTTTTGTCGAGCCATGATGTAATGTCTTTGTGAACACTTAGAGAGCTGATGGCTGCAGCAAGTTCATTATTTCCACCTCAAGCAACACAAAATCGAACTATCTGCCTCTGAAATCCCTAAGGAAGCACCTTATTGCTAATTGCTCCAACCATTTCAATAAGTTGTTGCTCTGATCAGATACAAAGATCTCATTATAGGTCACAAAAGCAGTTATATTCCTCACTGAAGTTCCTAAAGTGAAGACCATGATAAAGCATGCCCTTACCATATGCCAGCTTAGCCTCATGGCTACTTATTTTCTCACAAGCTGTTTCACCAATTTTAGCCAGCTCTGGGCAAATAAGCAACTGTTTGCATTCATGACCTCATGGATGCTTCAAAGGCCCTCATTACAGACTCATCAAGCTAATCCTTCAACTCCAGTCACATCGACATTTTTCCTGTAAAATTGAGGGGGTGGTAATAAGAATAGACTTAATTATGAAGAAGAGCAAAAAGGGCATGTCATCACGTAGCTCTCCAGAATGAGCAGCCACTCCCAGGCATGGCATGCCCACCTATGATAACAGGCACTCTCCTGCCTACCCCAGCAACTGAGCACATTTGTTCTCTCAGGCAGTGGCCACATTTGCTGGTGAGAATGTGAGAGGCTGCATGTCCTGGTGCAGGCACAGTGCTGCACCACTGTGGTTTTACAGCACCCACGTACCAGCTCCGCTCTGGCCAGTGTGGTAGCAGGGGAACGCACATCTGTCCATTAGAGAGGACTAAGCTTGTACCTACACAAATTGAACCCAAGGAAATACTGACAACAAACATCAGAGCTGCCAACAAACATAAGTGTAGAGAAAGTCACACTGCCTACCTATAAGAAACCCTGTGTTCCAGTCAGAAAACTTAATATATTGACATTCCTTATGGACCAATGGCTGAAATTGAAGGGCATTTGTTGTAATGTGTGGACAAAAACACTGGCTTCCTGAGGCTTAGTCAAATATAATGTGCCAGGGATCACATGCGTGTTTCTTAGCACCAGGATTGGATAACCTGTGTAACCAAGGAAAGGATACCTCAAATCACTCTTCAAGCAATCTGCTGGGGGCCACACTGTCTGCAAAGGGCAACAGTCTCCTGTCATTCATTCCTATCACTTCAGGAACGGAGGCAACATGAAGGGATGGCTGATGCTTGGAAAGACTGGGCAGGCCAGGGAGTGAAGTACTCACCATGAGGCCTGAGTATTCTGTTCCAGTCAGGGGCTACAAAGCCATTGAATCACAGTAGCAGTCCAAGAGCATGGTAGTATAAAGCTAACAGAGGATAAGAACAGCTATCCCAGACAAGGTTACCTAACAAAAGGGGGAAACAAAGCAGCAAAGTGTCCACAGAAGCAAGACAAGAGGTGCATGGTTAATGCATGGTTACAAACACCATAAAGTTTGAAAAAGCCAGTGAAAAACACAAGATTTTACTTTATCAAAAGGGGACACAGCACCACTCATTCATTTTTCCAGCCACACACTCCCACCTCTACTTGTGCATCAGCTCCAGGGCTCACTGAATCCTTCATTCAGCCAAGACAAGCCTCTACACAAGCCAAAAGGAAGGTCAGCATAGAGTTAACTAAGTTCCTGCCAGGCTAGTGAGTTGAATTAGCTCACTGAGAGGCTGCCACACACCAGTGCTGACCTAGGCTTAAGAAAAGAAATTATCTTCTCACCTCCAAACCACGAGCTCACGCTTCAGTACAGTGACAAAGTTATTCAGCTGGCAGAGCAAGAGGAGGAAAAGAATCACGGTGAGCAGCAACACTATTCTGAAGCACAACAGAAGGCACTCTGTTGCTCCCTGGCTCTCCATTCAAGGTCTCATTCCTGGGTGCTTCAATGGCATAAGGGAGAGAGTTCCCCAACAACTGCCTTCTGGAACCTCTGGCCCACATTCTTCATGCTTCAGAAATGCAAGAGGAAGTCAAAGAGTTTGCAATTATATCTTCAACTAAGGCTTGTATTTTCTGCTACATTTTGGGCTTCTGAGAACACTTTAAGATTTTCCTACATGGTTAGCCACCAGATTCCTCTGTTCTTTCCTGGCCTGAGCAGAAAGTTAAATATATTTCTGTACTACAATGAAAGATTAGCTTCCAGAACAGCTTATATGATCACAAGCAACTGAGACAGAAGTACTGCATGTTGCCAGAAAAATGCTAACACAAAAGCTGCTGTATGGAAACCACTGAGTGTCCCTGTGTGCTACAGGCACTGCCTGGTACAAAACTGCTACCATGGATGTACTGCCAGTACAGGAACCAGTTGGCATCAGTCCTCACACTGATAACTGTCATGAGCAGAGCAACAAGAACATGCTGTTCTTTGGACAAGTGTCCCTGTGGAATTTGCCTGGAGTCCTCCATAAAGGTCCAGCTCATAGCAGTTTCTGTCTCCACCAGACACTCAAGATGCAAAGCCCTGGGTTAGTGTTTGCTCCTGTAGAGCCTTCCTTACAGTTTGCTATGGCTCTACTCTAACTTTCAGGACCTGCTACAGAGAATATACAGACATTGAGACAGAAAACCTAAATTTCACCCCGTATGAACTAAGCAACTGCTGCTACAGCTGACAGGACTTACATGCTTCAATGAAAAGGCTGAATGAGAACGCTTCCTGTAAGTCAGTCAGAAGACAGATATTGTCATGCTACGGGTATGTCTGGAGCTGCAGCCTCAGGGCTCAGAGCTGCAGCTTGGCTAAGAAAACAGTAACCTCCTTATAGCAGGCCTGTTCATGCCAGCGACACACCACAGACCAAAGACAGATAAAGAACATCTGCCAAGGTGGCAGTGAGGAAAGCCGGAGTTATGCCTTGGCTGGAGGAAAGGCAGTCCTTTTCAGCAGTGCTCTGTGTGTGTGTTCAGCTCCCTAAGGGCCACTTACACAAGCATTTTTCTTTTTAGCCCAGTGGTGACATCTGTTTTCACAGGCAGTGGTGGTCAGACTTGTCTGGCTGCGTTCCCAGTGCTGCTGTTCTCCTTTTACCTTCTTCTCCTCCACCAAGAACCAAAGGCACTGTCAAATACCTTGTGACCAGGGTCAGCCTGCATGTCACTTTGCTGCTGGAATGGGAACAGGTAGCTGCCTGAAGATGTCTAGACAAGCAGTACAGGACAGAGCAGATTCTGGCTGGGCTTTCCCGTGGTTTCTTAAACAGCTCTGCTTGAGTCACATAAACTTCCCCTGCTCTAAGCCCAGGGGAGCTGTACCTGCAGCGAATTGTGTAAGGCAGCAAGGGCTCAGCCAGGTCTCTAGCAGTCTAGACAGTCAGGACCTTGGAAAGCTCAGCAACCCCTGTTCCTTCCTCTCCGGAGTGCCAGATGAGCTGCAGGTTTCCTCCAGGGGAGCAGCCCTAGAGGATCACACTTGAAGAAAGAGAATGAATAAAGAGCAAGGCCCAGTGCTTAGCCTAGTGCATGTACAGAATGAACCTGGAAGAGGCACAGAGAAATGATTAGTGCTTCTTGAACTGGACTTGCATCCTTGGAGGGAACCTTACTGCCTTGTTCTTCCAAAGCACAGGCTGCATCATGGTGAGGAGCCAAGGCCATTGCTAAAATCACTTCAGACTGATTGGAAAGAGTTTGAAATGCAGGCAGACAGCACTGCCAGCCTGAGGCCAGTCTGCAGAGCAAGGAAGAGTTCCTAGAAGGATCTAAGACATTAACTAAGGGGTTCATAGCACAAGGGATGGTAAGGCTCCATTGTTTACTAAACACAGCAATAGTATAAGCATTAACAAGTAATGAAACATATGTCAAGCACTTTATTTACAGAAAATTCTTGTGTTCAAAAGCTCAGTTTTCTGCAACATTGTCCACTGGCTGGAAAAAATAAAGGTGGCCTCTTTCTGAACTTTGTTCTATATCTATCTTTAATTATTCATAACAGCAAAACATGTAACTACATTTTCAAAAACAAGTAGAAAAAACTGAAAACAGGTAAACTTTGAATTTTCAGGATCCTCCAGAAAACATCTGGGTTCTTCCAATGTAATCCAGGGTAAAAGAATTTAAAAGATATGTTTGAGTTCCTTACCATCATCCAAAAAATGCATTAGCTTTATACAGCACTCACATGCATTCCTGTGAGGTCATTTCCAGCTCTGAGTCATGTACATTGGGAATGACACTGTGTCAGGGCAGAACAACTTCAGAACGGGGAGAAGGAAGAACATTAAGCCCATACTGAGGCACAAAAGCATTTAGATAGTGTAAGGTAACTTGTGTGTGTGTGTGTGGAGGGTATTTATCTTCAGCTTAAAGGTTATTATTCATAGACCACCCGAGGTCAATGTGACTGTCAGGTAAGGAAAACAAGACTATGAAAATGCTGGGCTTTTCCTCAAGTATAATATTGTAAAGCAAAGCTCAAAGAAGCAATGCAATCTGCTCTTGCAGACCAGATGCTGCATTCACTGAATCTAAGCCTCCAGCATCTGCTTTCTCAATGCACAATATGCAGCAAATTCTACTGCAGCAAGTTTAGAGCCAAGAATAATAATAGAATACTGCACAATGTTGTGTCATATGCATTGCCAGACAGCTACCAGCCTATAGACATGCCTCTAACAATTCTGGCTAGAGAATTTTAAAAGCACAGATCATATAACAGGTGCACGGTATTTTTAGGCACACTAGTCGACACAGGGTTGTTAGATAGCCAGCTTGATGTTTCAGAAGACAAGTCAGCTACCTGCCAGGTTTCAGAAACCCTGTCTCACCCATGCATGCAGCACTCTGCTGCCCCTCTGGATAACGTGGAAGGTGTTGATGTGGGCAGACAGACATTCCTGTGCCTCAGAAGGGATGGCAAAAAGAAGCTGGCAGATGCAGCAGCTCAGGCCGTATCCTATCCATTGCTCAAAACTAAGCCCCACCTTTGAAAACTTGCTACCACAATTTAATGATTATGTTAAGAACAGGAGAATAATCGAGTTCTTCATCCAAGGGGTGGAAATTCATTGGATCTTCATGAAATGCATCTTTTTCAGAGCTCCCTTTCCCTTGGCTGAAGCATGTGATTTGTCTTGCAGTTTAGGGGCTTTTTGGGTTGGTTTGTTGTTTACACTTAGCAAATTCTGGTATGTGCTCTTAGAACAAAGGTGCTTCAGAATCAGCCTGGGGAACACAGAGGAAGACCTGATGCCACCAGCACAGCAGGAAGCACAAGGAAGTTGCAGGCAACAGGTACATCATGGAGAAAGCACAGGGAAGGAAGCCCTGTCCCTCTACTCAACAATAACAGGTGGGGCCACAGCCTGAGAGGTATTGCTCGTGCCCTTTGTTGAGATACCTGGTAAAAGGACATTAGCAACAAGCTCCATTTTCCAGCCTCTCAACCCCAGGAACTGTCAACAGCATTAACCAGCAATGATGCTTTCTGCTCCATATGCTAGAACTGCAATGCATTTGACTCACCAACACACTAAACCAGCAGTCCTCTAACACTATTTGGCATCTAGCAAAAACCCTGAAAAATTTATGGATTTCTTAGAAGAAAATGAGTCAGCAACAGCTTAATATCTTGTGAGTAGAAAGTCAGAAAATTGCTACAGAGAGACCTAAGTACTTTAAACTATCAAGATACATGTCCAGACCAAATTTTTCCACTCTGTCAAGTCTGGCTGCAACTGCTTAATGTACTTTAAGTCATCCAAAAACCAGCAACCATTCAAGGAATTCTGAAATTCTCTAGACACCCATCTTATTTGAACTTGCTGCATGCTTTCCCTTTCTCCTCCATTTAGTCAGCAACTTGAGGCTTTATTTGCAACACAACTAGAAACAAGAGTTATTTGTATCTGCGTTAACTATGCTGCTAAGATATGCTACCTCCAACTTTCAGTAGAGGAGGTGTTTTCCATCTTGCACAATGGTAAAAGTACTGTTCAAAGCCTGTTAGTAATGTTTATACTTTCAGTATTTTGAGTCTGAAAAACTACAGCAATCACAAACTCAAGTGACATCAGTCTCATGCAAGGGCACATACACATAGTATGAACAGCAAGTTTAGACCCAGATTGTCATAGGTCAGTCTGCCCATACCATTATTTACTTAATTTAGTAACTAATGAGTTTTATTACTAATATCCAAATCCATTCTTTTTTGTTGAGTCTAAAGATGGACACGATATCCATATTCTCTAGATGGGAAGAATTTCAAATCCTTCATGTGACAGAAGTGCAAAATCAAGCTGAATGGACTAAATCCACTTCTGGTGTAAGCTGAGAAGCTCACTGATCAGCCACCATGGTCAGAACAACTGGCATGAAAAGTTAGCTACTAACAAGAGTTGAAAAAGAGAAACATGTACATACCACACAGGAAGCTTCATATTGTTTCCCCAGTTTAGGTCTTAAAAACGCACTGAAGAAGGGGAGAAAAACCATTAGAGACCCAGTATACCTAGTATGGTTTTTTTCTTTGCTATTTTTAGGATTTTTCTCATGTCAAAAGGTTGGTAGAAGGCTGAGAAACTTAATGTAAAGGAAGACATAAGGCCAAAACTATGTTCAGATACCTGTTGATGCCATCTGACAAAATGCTGTTACCTTTTCTAGAAGACAAAGTACCCACACCAACATGCCAAGAGGTTGTTAATTCAACCTTCAGGAAAAGTCATATTCCCCAGGGATAAAATCTTCCACCAGACAATTTTCAGCCATTTTACCTCAGTGAAAGATTTTCAGTATATTCTGTTTGAAGTATGCTAAATATTACTGAACTTTGCCTTGCCTCTATTTTAAGCTAGAGATGCATTTGCCAGCTCTGTATTAAGTATTTTTCTCCACAGCTGCTGATGTGGAAGGCTCATGATAAAATGCAGGCCTGTACCCTGTAGGTACAGAACACTCACCCTCTGCTGTCATTCTCCTCCAGAATGGAATCAGAGATAAATATTTTTTTAAAAATTAATCAGGTCACCTTATTACAGCTTTTTTTTTTTTTCTTGGAGGACACTGAACTGTGGAATAAATGGATTTTGTGACTGAGGGCCTCAAATCAGAGGCACAACCTTCAAACATTCCAACCTCCCCCACAGCCCTCGCAGTGTTTTCAGTTTAGAATCCTGTTAAGACGGGAGACGGACTGGACTCGCAAGGAACATAAAGCCCCAGCCATACATTCAGCCTGCCCCTCACACATCATTACTCTCCAATCCAATGAAATAAGGTGAGACTTTGACGTATCTGTTTGCATGCCGACCTCTCAAAGCATAGATTACACTTCCAGGACAGCTGCAAATACAGATAGAAGCGAAGCCGCAGGTCTGGTGCAGCAGTGACGGATGCTGCTCCTGGCACCAGAGCTCCAGGAGTGCCCTCACCGGGCGAGGGGGGTGGATGTGGGGGACGGGACAGGGAGGAGGGG